TTTTAACAATGGTAAATTGGGTCAATTAAAACACGAACCAACCTGTACATATGAAGAGATTTATACAGGGTGATTCGCAATCGGCGTCGTTCGTGTTAGGCGCTTTCTGAGAGCGTGCTTGAACTTGAAAACTCTTTGACCGTCTATTAATTGAGCTAAACCTTGCCAAAATTGCCAAACAGCGCAGGTATTTGTGGTTAGGTTGTAAACTGTACTCCTCAAAACTTTAAATGGACTACAATGTCCAGTAGGTCCAGTATTATGCTTGAAAATGACCAGAATTTTCGGGGTGATGTTTATTATAAGGAAATTAATTATTTTTATACAGTAAAAGTGGAACTGCACAGCTGATTTTTCTTCATCTCTAATTTGTGAAGTAACTCGTCATCAAGTTATAGTTTGAAGAATATTGCAGATTTTTGAGCTGTATTTTCCTGAATTTATCGTGCGAAATAAAACGTTAATTTTTTAATTTTTTGTCCTGCAGCGGTTTCAAACGTGCCCAGCTGCACCTAAAATTCACAGGATTCAAACTTTAACTGATCCAAGGCTGCAATTTTCTGTATTAGTTGCTAAACCCTTAGTGTTTAACTGTTCTAAATTGTAATTGATGCCAAGCTCCCGTGCAGCATGTGCAATTTTTTAAATTTCCTGTGATAAGGAACGGGGTTTTCAATGTGTTTATCGGCAACTAAAAATTCGCAAGTTCCAAAGTTGTGCCGCTTATAATACGCAAAAATCACCTTACAAAAGGTTGAAAATTCGGATTTTGGCTGTTAGTAATGACATAAATGCCCACTCAATTTGGCGCCTCGATTGATTTTCCAAAAGTGTTCTAGTTTATGTTTTTGTCAAACTATAGCAGATAGAAAACTGCAGTTTCTAGCATTAAGCCACAGTAGTAGCCAAAGCCCAAGGGCTCAGCTATCAAGTACTCAAACTTTCAATTAATTTAGAGTTGCGTTCATTTGCTGAAAATGTTTCAATTTTCTGGATTTTTGTTCTCCAGTGCACAGGCAGCATCTAAAAATTCGCAGTTTCCAAAATTGAACCAATTTTTAACTGATTTTTTGAATATTTTTAGCTGAGGTCTTACTTATTAGACCTTGAAAATTTCAATTGATTTTCAGTTTCTGTTCAGTTTCAAGAACATTTTTAATTTTCTCCGCACTTAAACGTGCATCCT